CCACTGCGATTAAGACTGAACTGATTTTTATATTATTCCTGTAACCATCACCATCATCTCAGAAAACCAACTCTGGTTAGTTTATGGTTCAACTTTCTGGCTGGTTCAGGAACCAAACGAAGTGCATTTAAGCATGTCTAATGCAGCCGACCTTGCTGCATCCATGTTTCCCAATCTTGGGCACGTCAACTCCCAGAATTCCACAGGCAGCAGGCCGCCGCTGAGAATTCTGGGAGTTGAAGTCCACACAGCTGGAAGTGCCCAAGACTGGGAAACACTACTCTGGCTACAATCCTGACCCTTCAAGGCCTCGGTTCCCAAATTTGCTTCGGATCTGGTTTCTCAGGAGGACTCACCTGACTGGTAGAAACAGGATTCCCGGAAGAAAATGCGCCCCTGCGGTCGTAGCCAGAAAAGCATCTGCTGGGCCAAAGCGCTCAGCTCGGCATCCGAGAGGTACATGAACAGCCAGTTGGAGAAGATGAGGTCGAAGCTACAATTCGGAGGAAAACGAAGCCGTCAGAAGAACCGAGATTCCCGCTGGAATGCCAAGCTTGCATTTTACTTTCCATCGTTTGACCCCAGCAAACATCAGCATCTGGAATGTGAATAAAGCTTGGTGTTTCGAGGGGCTTCTGGAATTGGGGGGCAGGTCTGCATTCCCTAGTTTGCCAGGAAAAAATGGGGGTCTTGCATTTTGGAGATTTTGCTTTTTCTTTAAAAACCCAAGTCTGCTTGGTGAGTTTATGATTCGGTGCAGCGGGCAAGCCCAGGGGAAGAGTGACATCCCCCTTAGTGCGGACGTATTGATTTTGATTCGTGGGGTCCCGTTTTTGTGTAAGGTTCGATTTCTCTCCATTCCTCACCTTGGAGACCTTCTCAGTTTGGGTTTGGCTGACTTGAACGCTCCTCTTTACGGAATTTCAATTCAGCTCAGCAAAGGGGAAAATCTGATTTAAGATGTTTGCCCTTAAAGGCACAGCCTGTCAACTCCCGTGCCTCGCCCTCTAGGTTCTACTTGCATTTCGCCTAACCTATTGCTGAAAACCCTTTTCCTTCTTTTTATTTTGAAACGGAGGCATGACACTGGCTTGTGTTCGGATGTCTCTCTCGTTTCCTTTTCAGATGGTCAATTACTGCCCTTGCATTGGGCAAAGCGATCGAGCCTTGGAGTGGATCAAATAAATGGGCCGTCTGTTCGCACCTCTGGCTTGGCAGTTTCAGGTTGGTAACGTCAGCCTGAGAAAATGTTATGTTGCTCCGATGACCGTTTTCTTGCTGATTCCGGTTCAGGAAGCTACTCATAAAATCAACCGCGGTAACGTGATGGGCTACGTCTGCCAGCGATCCAGTGAATCGGCTGAAAAGAACAGAAGGAGGGAATTACAGACAGTTTTGGAACAGAGAAATAGAAAGTGATGGGTTATTCATTTAAGCTGGTTAGATGTTTTTTTAGCGGTAGAGTTAGGTTAGTTTAAAAAGATCTGTTAAGAGATTTATAGATATTAGACCAGTGTTTCTCAACCTTGGCAACTTTAAGATGTGTGGACTTCAAACCCCAGAATTTCCCCGGCAGCATGTTGAAGACCACACAACTTAAAGTTTCCAAAGGTGAGAAACACTGGGCTTATATCTATAAAACTCTTAACAAATCT